TCATAATTGAAATGTACGGTGGGGCAGGGCCATATTTGAATTGTATTCCCCCGGGGGAAGCGATCAAACCAGAAAAGGGGGGAGGGGTGGGTTGTAGATCCCAACTTCTTGTTTAAAAGGAAAACCATGTTTGGTGGTGCTGCCAATGTTTAAGAACCTCGGCGTGTCAATTCTTGACGTTTCGCGTGTCCCCACCATCCCTCTTTCAGCTCTGCCTTCAGTCCCCGGCGTCGCTCCTCGGCGTCCCTCGGCGGCTGTTTCGGCGGCCGTTCGTTCGCGCGCTTAGGTAATTTGGTTTGTCTCGTAGCCCGGGCGGACTTCGGACGCCAGTTGCGCCGTCGCTTGCGGCCGCGATGGAAAAAACATCCCCACCAGCCCATCCAAAAACGATCGCCAGGGGAGTTGCTGAATGATGGCGGGGTGGAAGCACGCAGTTGCACAGCCGTTGTCCGAAAAAATGATCACACATAGCGTCCCGCACCGAAGGTAAATATGGACACCGGTAAAACATACGCCGTGGTGTTCCCCGTTGCAAGCGTTTTTGGCGCAGGTGGCTGTAACTACCATTCGTCGCCCTTGTCGTCGCACAGTTGATACTGTACATCCCAACATATATCCTTGATCTTCGCCCTCGCACTGATTTGTATCCAAAGCTCGTGTGCGACAGCCCGTGGAATTCTTGGGTATGATGTGCCTTGACCCGTGTCGGTGTGGTCCGTTACAAGTGGCCGTCATGGGGATCAAGCGTACAGATGCTCGTCGTCGTCTCAAACATTGCTCCCAACCATCCTGTGGTGTTGGGTCTTCGTTTTGAAGAGACGGTGCCCCGCGTTCCTCCTCCTCCTCCTCCTCCTTTTCCTCCTGTCCTCCTCCCTTTTCCCTGCGTTTCACCCACCCAGTACACGGTTTCGTGGACCCATAGGGAGCTCCAACTCGCATGGCGGCCCCGCGCAATTTTGGCACACCCCTCACACGTTTCGTGGCCCCACATGGAGCTCCACCTAAGGTCTCAGTGGCTGAACTCGCATGGCGGCCCCGCCCCATTTTGGCGCACCCCTCACATGGTTCGTGGCCCCCCAGGAAGCTCCACCTAAGGTCCCAGTGGCAGAACTCGCATGGCGGCCCCGGGCCATTTCGGCACACCCCTCACACGGTTCGTGGCCCCTTAGGGAGCTCCACCTAAGGTCTCAGTGGCGGAACTCGCATGGCAGCCCCCCCCCCATTTTGGCGCACCCCTCACAAGGTTCGTGGCCCCACAGGGAACTCCACCGAAGGCCCCAAGGCGGGGCTCGCATGGCGGCCACGCGCCATTTTGGCGCACCCTTCACGTGTTTCGTGGCCCCATAGGGAGCTCCACCTAAGGTCCCAGTGGCGGAACTCGTATGGCGGCCCCGCGCCATTTTGGCGCACCCCTCACGGGAGCTCCACCGAAGGCTCCAGTGGCGGAACTCGCATGGCGACCCCGGGCCGGAACTCGCATGGCGGCCTCGGGCCATTTCGGCACACCCCTCACACGTTTCGTGGAGGGGCGCCGTCCTCGTCGTCGTCGGCGCCCGCGAAGACGGCCGCGAACGTGTCCCAGAGCACGTCGGGCTCCGGCGGGAAGCCGTGCATAGGGAGCGTGGGCGAAGATGGTATTCACAATTGCGGTATTCACACATGCGTATGGGTGGGTCTTTCGCCAGGCTAATTTTCAAAACTGGGGGGCCGCACCCTGAGCCAGGAAATCAACGATCACAAATAGTTTCCCGCACTGAAGTGTATCATGGAAATCAGTGCAAGATGCGCCGTGGTGTTCCCTGTGGGAAGCGCCTCTGGCGCAGGTGGCTGCATCCACGATCGGGCGCCCTTGACGCGCAGATGAGAGTAGCATTCTGGTGGACATCCTTGATCTTAGCCTTCGCTTTTGTTTGTATCTAAAGCTCGCGTGCAGCTGCTGGTGTTGGTGGAGGTGGCGGTGATGGTGGTGCTGCTGGTGCTGCTGCTTGTTGTGCCTCTTGCTGCTGGTGGTGGTGCTGCTGCTGTGTCCATCTTGGGGGTGCGAGGGCGAAGAGCAGGAGGAGGAGGAGGAGGAGGAGGAGGAGAAGGATGAGGACGAGGAGGAGGAGGAGGAAAACAGGAGAAGGAGGAGGGGAGGACGAGGAGGAACAGGAATGGGACACGAGGAGGATGAAGAGGAGGAGAGAGGAGGCAGGAAGGGGGGCAGGAAGGAGCGGACGATGATGAGGATACTGACAAGTTGGGCTTTGGGGATCTGTTGTGGTGAGGGGTCCTTCGAGGACTCGTAATGCCGTCTTGGCGCCATCTTGGGGCTCTCTTGGGGTCCTCTTGGGGCCCTAATGGGGCTCTCTTTAGGCTTTTTGGGGGGTCCAGGGGGCCCTTGGGGCTCTATGGGGGGTCAGGGGGGCCTCTTGGGGCCGTTTGAGGCCCCACTGTTCAGAAAGAGCGGGGTAGGAAATTCAGCCCCCCCTGTCGGAGGTTCCAGGGCGTCTTGGGACCCTCTTGGGCCGCTCTTACAGGCGGACTCGATTGGAGAGGACACGCGAGAGAGGACAAAAGACCCTTCCGAAGGCCACGTTGCCAAAGAAATGCAGGAGGCACGGGTCGCGAGGCACAGGGCACAAAGGTACCCTTGATTTGGCAGGGCCGACCTACTAATCCGGGCCGACTGTAGAGTGCTCTTGGGGCCGCCTTAGTGCCTCAGGCCCCGCTTTGGGCTCTCTTGGGCTCTCTTGGGGCCATCTCGAGGCCTCAAGAGCCCATCGGAAGCGAAAAGGCGAGAAGGCAACGTTCATGGATGTTCGTAAAGTGTTTGAAGGATGGGGGCCTCTTGGGGGGGTTCTCGGAGGGCTCGAAGGGCACTTGGGACCGTCTTGGGGCCGTCTTGAGGCCTCTTGGAGGCAAGTCGCAGGCTATATTGAACCGTCTTCAGGTATCTTGCGCCACCTTGGAGGCCATCTTGGGCTATCTGGGGCCCTCTTTGAGCCATCTTGGATCAAAAAGGACGCTCTGCCGCATCCGCCCCCCCCCCCCCGTCCAGACCGAGGGAAGGGGGGGTGAGGGGGAGGTAAACCTCCCCGTGCAGGGAGAGGAAGGCGGCTGGAAAAGAAAAAGCCCTAGACCACTTGCGCCCATAGGACTGGTGGGATTGTAGTGTATTGCAGTGTATTTGCAGGGTCATTTTGCAGGGTCATTGCAGGGTCTTTGCAAGGCTTTTGTGGGGTCTTTGCAGGGTCTTTGTATGGGTTTTGCAGGGTCTTTGCAGGGTGGGCTTTGCAGGGGTATTGCAGGTTATTGCAGGGTCGTTTTGCAGGGTCTTGCAGGGTCCTTTGCAGGGGGCTTTGCAGGGGTATTGCTTGGTCTTTGCAAGGCGTCCAGGGGAGAGGGTAGGGAAAGGGGTTCTTCTGGGAAGAGAGAAGACAGGACACACCCTAGACAACCTGCGCCCAAGGCTGGTGGGATTCCATTGCTCGCACAGTCATCCCACAGCCGTCCGCACATTGGTTTGCAAAACTCATCTGGCGGCGATTACGGTGAGTGCTAGGCGCTGTTTGGCGCACCGCTGCAGCCGCGCTAGCGCGCGCAGGCTCGCGCGCAGAGCGGCCGGCTAGGCTGGCGCGACCGACGCGGCCGCGGTGGCGCTGACCGCTGGCGACTCCCCAGCGAGTTTCGCAGGTCGTGCTGACGCGCGGGCACTTCAGTGCGACTGCGTGACCCAAGTGGTCACGGTATCATTGTGACGTCGACGACGGCGGACCCGATGATGCTATTAGCGATGGTGGTGACGTTGTTGACGATGGCGGCGGCAAGTCCAATGACGGCGCCGATGTTGGCCGCGCCGATGAAGATGATGATGCGCACGTATCGGTGATGCCGGTTTCGGATTTATTTCGACATGCGCGCGCGGCCGACGCGCGCGAGTGGCCCGCATGGTTTTATTCGACAAGGGTCGCGCGCCACCACCGAGCGCGGCGAAAGGGCGTTCGAATGAATGTGACATGCGCTGGGAGGGTGGGGGGCTCATGGTTTCATGTCTCACGGAATGTTTGGCGCGCCAACGGTTTACCCCAGAATTCGCAAAAACGCGCGCGCACTTTTATTTTGAAATTAATGTTGCGCTACCGCGGCTTGTGTTCATCATGCTTTCGGGAACGTCGATTTCGAATTCCCTGCGCAAGCGACATTTACAGAAGTATCGCCCGCATGCGCGCAGGTAGCCGCGCGCGTGTGGATTTCACCTTTGTCCTGAAAACTATGTTTGGCACTTTTGTGATTTCTAACCGGCGAATGCGCGCACATAGTCTGATTTGACAAGGGCTGACGGGAGTGATATTAAAGACAAGGTTTGGCAAGGATGGTGCGAGTTCATATTCAACACGAACGATGTGGCATAACCGTATTTACGTCGTCCCGCCCCAAGGAGTGGGGATAACATTGGGGGTGGGTGGGTGGGTGGTAGATCAGAGTTTTTGTTTTTGTTCTTTGTTTGTTTTGTTCCTTTTTTAATATAATAATACATCTGACTATATTTTTAAAAAGGAGGTTCTATGTGTGCCCAGACGACAGGTGGCGACGTGGCGGCGACGGGGCGGCGACGGTGCGGCGACGGCGGCAACATAGCTCCCGAGCCGCCACCAAGGCTTGGACGGCGGGCGGCGACGAGGCGGCGACGGGGTGTCGACGGCGACAACAGAGCCGCCAGACCGCCACCAAGGCTCAGACGACGGGCGGCGATGAAACGGCGACGGGGCGGCGACCGCGGCAACATAGCCGCCAGACTGCCGCAAACGTCCAGACGGCGGGCGGCGATGAAACGGCGGCGGGTCGGCGACGGCGACAACATGGCCGCCAGACCGCCACAGAGGCCCAGTTCTTCAGAAAAGAAATAAGACCCCCTAAGTGCAATAACTGCTTGGGGACCAAGAGAAACTCGCAGTGAAAGACCTTCGTGGCGTCGTCGATCGCTCAATGCATCCCTTCCTTCCGCCCCACGTCGCCAGTTCTGGCCGCGAGATGTGCGGCGACTTCAAGAGGGGCGACTGCCGCAGAGGAGACCGCTGCAGGCAGGCTTCGCTAGTTGAGTTGGTCTCTTCAAATCTCGCTTACTGATTCGCCCTCGCCCTCCCTCCCCCACTGGTTCAGTGCTCTTCATCCTTTGTTTCACTTCTCTCTCCCAATCCCGCCGCCCTCGTTCTGCGCTTTTTGTTCGCTCCTCCCTTCTCAATTTGCCCAGTTTACCAGGGCCACGCGGACGAACAACTTTCGGGCAATGGGAGCCAGTCCATTAAGGTGCGCGCGCACTGTAGGGAATCGCGACGATGGGAAGTGGAGGGTCTGGATCTGGGGGGGTGCAGGAGGGAGTGCACGTCTTGGTATCCTGACCGGTCTTTCCAGGGCTCTGGCTCCAATTTCGTTTTTTGTATTGCTGGAGTTTTGATCCTAGACCCGAGAGGCAAATGTGTGCGCAGAGAGAGAGAGAGGGTATCGAACATGCGTTCCGTACGGGTGCATGGTTGTTAAATCCCATGGTGTTTGCTAGCTTATCTTCATTGCTTTTGCGGATGATCCGTATACTTGTATTCGAGGCTAGTGTTGCTCAGAGTTCGTCCTTGTTCCCTCCCCCTTCTAGTCTGCGGAGTGTCGTAGCTCGAGGGCTTGGACGAACCCCCAATATTGCCAGCGCCTTGGGGGAAGGGGGGCGGGGGGCCTTTGGGGAAGAGGGGCGGGGGGGGGGTGAGGGGAGGCTGTGGCTCTGGCATTTTCTGGTGGCCGGACCTTCCACCCCTTGCCTGCCGAGGTACTCTCACGGGGACACCGGCTCCATGGGCTCGGCAGCAGCAGGCTGCGGCGCGCCCATGGGTGGCTCCACGCGGCGCTCTCTTGCACTCTCCCTTCCGTCTTGATTCCTGATCATTCACTTCCCCGCGCTTGTTCCGCTACGCGACGCGCTGTGTGTATACCTCCGCCAAGCGGGCAAGGCGGCGGCATCCTTGCAGTTGGGTTGTGGAAGCATGGCGCCCAGACGCCACTGGGCAGCGCCGCAAATCGACGTCGCGACGTGATTTGCTCGGGCGCCGTCTGGAGCGAGGCTCGTGTCTGTCCGTTCCGCAACGTGGGCGACTCGGGACGAAGCCCATGTCCGACGTCCGTCCTCGGCACGGGGCACCCTGGCCGTTAGCCTTGAAAAGCGCTCCCCGCGAGCAGGAGCTCGGCTCTTTCGGCGAGGTCGGGCCCCTGGCCGCCATCCCTGCCGCTGCCAGCCCACGGGGGAGGAGGACCGGCCCCTCCCTCGAAAGGAGGTCGCCCTCCCTCGGCAGGCCCGCGCCACATCTGCCATCGCGGGACACGAGGGAGGCGGGGAGAAAACAGTGCTGGATGGATCGGTGTCGCGGGGGCACCTCAGCTCCTGTGCCCTCTTCTGCGTCGTGCCCTCGAACCCTCCCGTGGCTGGTTCACAAAACGGTGCAAAATTCAAATGAAGAAAGATGGTGTCTCCCCCCAACAATGGGCTTGTATCGTCGCGGGACCGGTGGAAGGCATGGCCGTTTGTTGCTTCAGCGTGGTTTGCCTGACCATGGCCGTTGAAGAGCGACAAGGACGATTCGCATGCACAGTAGGCGAAACAAGCTCAAGTACGACACGCCATCCAGCCTGCGCAAATGACGGAACATTCAGTAGACATGTTTATTTCTCAAATTGTGTGTGTGCGTGTGTGCATTTCGAGTGTTTTTTTTCCCTCCTCAGGTAGTCGGGCCCTGATGTCGGTCCAGCCGGCTCGTGGCCGCCCGTCGCCCCGTCGCCGCCCTCCGTTTCGGCCCTGGTGTCGGTTCGGCCAGCTCGTGGCTGCCCGTCGCCGCCCGTCGCCGCCGTCTATCGCCGCCGCTTGCGCCGCGTTGCGCTGCATTGCAATCGCATGGCGCTGCATTGCATCGCATTGCTTTGCGCTGCTTCGCATTGCTTTGACTTTCTTTGCATTGCGTTGCATTGCTTTGCATTGTTTTGCATTGCTTTGCGTTGCTCTGCATTGCTTTGCATTGCGTTGCATTGCTCTGCATTGCTGTGCATCGCATCGCACTGCATTGCTTTGCATTGCTCCGGGCTGCCTTGCAATGCTTTGCATTTCGCTGCATTGCATTGCATTGCATTGCATTGTGTTGGATTGCTTTGTATGGCTCTGCATTGCTTTGCATTGCTTCGCGTTGGTTTGCGTTACTGTGCATTGTTTTGTATTGCTTTGCATTGCATTGCTTTGAGTTGCCTTGCGTTGCACTTCGTTGCGTTGCTTTGCGCTACCTTCTGTTGCATTGCGTTGCTTTGCGTTGCTTGACACCTGATAGACCGCACCACGTGGATTGCACCACCTATCACCATAATGCCTGCACCGCCTAGATTTCGCCACATATGTTTCAAGAAACCAATGGTTGGGGTCTACGCTGGCTGCTAGCCTTGAACAGATCATGCACTCGAGGAAGTATCTCGCGTCTGGAAGGGACGAGGGCATTCATTCTGTCGATTTGGAGAATATCAGAATCTAGGGACAGACAGAAGTTGCGACTGCGGTTGACCATTTGACGGGCTTCGGCGTACTAGTACAAACGCGTATTTCTTCGAACGGAGGAATTTGCTTACGATTCGAGATTCGGTCGTTTCCATCAGAGCGAACGCAGGAACTTGCACACGAGATGGTACAAACATGGGGAAGTCGCCAAATAAGAAAACCAGTCATTGTCTGGTTCCCGTCCTCCTCGCCCCTCTCCCTTCGGGGCTTGCGCCGCCCGCGTCCCCGTCTCTTTGTCCATGTACTGGCTTCCTTCTCTCTTGCTACTCGCTTGCCTCGCCACACCTCGGGTCAGCGGAGTTCTCCACCCAGAGACAAAGAAACTGGGAGTTCCAGGGGGTCTTGAATTCTGGGCGCCTTCGGCGCCAACGAGGATTCTCTTTTGGGAGTTAGGATGGGGGGAGACACATAGTGCGGTTTTGTTGCATCGGTCGGTAGTTCGACGGCCGTTGCCTTGGAAGAGCGGGTTCGGGGCCCGGCGCGCCACCAGCCCGCAGTCCACCTTCCGCTGCTCAGTTTTTGGAAATGTCTGCTCCTTGCCCGGGGGCTCCCATACTCCCTCATTGTAGCTCACGGAGGGTCGTGCCAGGCAGGACTCTGTCGCTAAGCCGAGACCTTGCATCCATATCCATACGCAAGGGCTTTGCCAACTTTTAGCCTATCGACTGGGAGCCCGCCCCACGAGCGCCTTTACCTTTTGTCTCTCCTTCCTCTCTCCCCTCCTCCTCCCAGTTTCATTTTGTGACCTCAACGTTTTCTCGGCGGAGTCAGTGGAGTCTCGGGTCCTCACCCCCTCTGGAGCACGCATTGCGCTAAGCTTCTTGTCGCACACACCTCCATCCTCCCTTCCCGGCGGGCTGGAACCCTGCCGCCCGCCGCTGCCTCCCACGACGCGCACAGGGATGTCCCTGCGAGCCCAGCGGCGCTGAGTGCCAGGGGCGTGTGCGGTCGTCTTCGTCGCCTCCCCCCCCTTCGGGGGCTGATGCGCTGATGCCCGCAGGCTTCCGGATCATCTCCGCAGGCCAGACAGACTGCCCCCCCCCCCCCCCCCTACGCCGCCCAGCGTGTGGCCACCGAAGCCGCAGGCTTCAGCCAGCGGTCGGCTTCTCCTGTGCAGGCCCCCGCTGGGCTGGAGGGCCATCGGCCTGCGAGGGGCGCGCGCCTCCGGGCGGCGGGGGGAGCTGCGACTGTCGAACAGCAAGGCGGGCGCTCAGAACTGAACTGGTCTACCGAGGAACTGCACCCATGGGAACCATGGCACTATCGCTCCGTCTCGAGGGGAGAGGGGGGGGAAGGGGGGAGGGGGGAGCTAGCGGGGAGGGGGGCAAGGGTGGGGCGTGGAGAGTGGCGGGAGGACGGGGCGTGCGCGGCGCGCCGAGCCACGCCGCGGACCGGGGCTCGCTCGCCCTTCCCCCACCTTCTCCCGCCCCCTCCCTCCGCGTCGTTCCTGGCTCCGTCCCCCGAACGCCCTTGGGGGGGGGGGCGTCCAGGGCAGGGGGTGAGGACTAGGGGTGTGTGTGTGTGTGTGTGGATATCATGGCAGGGACTCATGATTTGCCAGATATCATAGCCCCCTCTCCTTCTTTCGATGCGTCCCCCTGCCATCCCCGCAGTCCGCGCACATGCCTCGAGCCACGATGCGCCAACCACTGTCTCTTCGGCGCACCCGGCACTTGTCAGAGGCGCGTTCCTTTCCGATAGCTCACGCTGCGCTGAACCCACCCGCGTTTTCCGAGTGTGACTTGAGCTGCAGCCGTGCCGTGTGACGGATGCGCTCAAGTCGAAGGCCGTGGATTTTTTAAGGTAAGGACCCTCGAGGTGCATCTAAACGGTGAACGCATGCCGCCGGAGGAGGGGAGGAGGAGGAGGAGGAGGAGGAGGAGGAGCGAGGGGGGAGTGTGTGTGTGTGTGTGTGTAGGAGGAGGAAGAGGAGGAGCGAGGGGGGAGTGTGTGTGTGTGTGTGTGTGTTTGCATCGTGCTGTCATGACTTGTTTTGTTCTAGAAGGAGGATGAGGAGGATGAGGAGGATGAGGAGGGGGAGGAGGAGGAGGAGGAGGTGTATAGAGGGGACGTCGGCCTTGGCTAGCTGTGTCCTGAGGTGGCGCCATGTCCTCGATGGGGGGCATGATGGGCATGATGGGCATGCCTGGCATGATGGGTATGCCTGGCATGATGGGCATGCCACCCATGGGCATGCCTCCAATG